CCCCCAAAACCCCAAAACCCCAAAACCCCATTTTTTCCAAAATTTTTTGAAATTTTTTCCAATAAAATGGAGTCCCAATTCACTTTCATAGACCAAGAAGAGAAAGACATTGACTTGATGCAAGATCAAAAAAAATTAATAATGCAGATTCTCAATCTGCAAGAACCATCCACTGATGAAGAATACGAACAAAGGAATGGCTACGACTCTCTTGGGCTAGACGAGGAGATCATGATTAATGGCGTTGGTGTGCCAAGAGAAATATTCTCGCTAAAAGCTCTGGTGATTGACGAGCCAACACAGAGAATGCTCTCAACTATTACCAAAATGACTGATATTAGGGATAGTAACGTTACACTTCATTCTAAGATTACAGCCAAGAGAGATAGCGTCGTTGATACCCCTGTTATATACCTTATAGAACCCACTGAAGAGAATATCGAGTTGGTCGTTCAAGATGCGGAAAGGGCTCTTTATGATTTTATGTTCTTCTATTTCACTAGACCTGCACCAGGGCCAGCCCTGGAGAATCTTGCCTGCAAGTTAGCCAGAATTGGAGCAGCAGATAAGGTTATGAAAGTCCAAGATAATTACCTCTCATTCTTTTGCCATACTCAGAACTGATTTACGATTTATCACGAGAATGCTCAAATCCAAGCTCTTTTAAATTCTGAGACAAGCAGCGCGATTGACGCTGAAGTTGAGAATATTGTACATGGCATTTTTGGAGTCTTCGAAGCTACCAATTTTTACCCAATCATCAGATTCAGGAAGGGAGAAATCTCTGAAACTATTGCTTATGAGCTCAATGCGTTGTTTCAAGAAAAAGCCGAGAAGGATGAGTCATATGAGTTCAAAAGGCAACCTCGAAAGAAGAAGAGATGCTTGCTCCTCATATTCAATAGGGATGTTGACTGGTCTATCATGTACAGGCATTCGTGGAGTTATCTTCCTCTCATCCATGACATTATTGGAATCAAGGCAAATCAGATTCAGATCCAAGAGGAAGGAAAAGACAAAAGTTTCGATCTTGATTTTATGCATGATTCCATCCTCAAAGAATATGCTCTCAAGGACACTCCTGAGCTTGGAGAGAGTATCGAGAAGAAGCTTCAGGACTGGAAGGTAAAGTATGATGAGATTAACAAAAAGTCGCAATCGAAGGAGGTCTCTCAGATCTTCTCCAATCTCAACTCTGCAATTGACTCGTTACCTAAGATGAAGCAAGAAAAAGAAAAAATAGAGGCTCACTCCAGTATTTGAACTATTTTGTATGATGCCGTGAAGCAAAGGGATATAGACTCTTATGACTCTCTTGAGGATGAAATTATTACCAAGAGTCATTTGTCCTCCAAAGCTCGAAAGGAGATGGAAGAAATCCTGTTTAACATCAACACTTGCCTCAAGTCAGGCCTTGACCGGCTCAGACTGCTCTGCATCTATATTATTGCTACAAACCCAGAGAAGGGACAGGTCCAATCCAAAATCCAGAAATTGAGGGAGCTTTGACCTGAGACTAACTTCGATATGGCATTAAAAATTTGGCAAAAGCAGAACCCAGACAAAGATATTGGAGATGAAAACATCAGCAGCCAAGTTGTTGAGGAAGAAAAATCTATTTTTAGCGGTTTTGGGCTTAGCCTTAAAAACAAAGGCAAAAGTTTGCTAGGAAATGTGAGGAATCTAGTCGAGAATCCTTCTTCAGACTCTATGATTGCCAATCTGGTTAGCCAGTATTATGATAATAAGGGAGAAGGAAAGGAATACGAGAATGATTCTTATATTGATACGGTGATGAACCGGGAGTTGAATAGCTCAAGAGCTAATATGCTCATTTTTGATTCTCAGAACTGCAACAGTCTGATGACGTATGTAACAGGAGGAGGCAGCTATTATGAGTATCAAAGAGTCACTGAGCTGCAAGAGAAAATTAATAAGAAGGTGATTTATGGATGAGACTATATCTACTCGCCAGAGGAGTTCTGATCCAAAACTTCATAAGGATTCTAGCAAGTATAAATATCTATTTAATTCAATATTTTTAGGCTGAAAAGGGGTTTTGGGGTTTTGGGGTTTTGGGG